TTCAATTCTCTACGATCGGTGTTTTATATATATCAAGATATATATGAAATATTTATGCATGCTATAATACTGATTACTTTTGTTTAATTACATGTATATACAAGGTTAAAAATTAATAGGCTTAAACTTTCATTTTCTTACTGTATATGTGGCGGTTGCTCCTCGGAACGTTGAGCTAGTGCCAGATGACGCTACACTTGGAACCGAAAGACGGTGAGGACGGAAGCAAACAATCGTGCCGAGAAAAGTCTTTTGAGCGCTCGCTCGCTCTCTCTCTCTCTCTCTCTCTCTCTCTCTCTCTTTCTCTCTCTTTCCTCCCGGCTTCCAGTGAGGAAGCATCTAGTCGCGAGCAGTTCCCGAGTGTCATCACGAACTAGAGCTCCTACCGCGAACGTTAGTTGTACGGTGTTTGTACTTCACCACAGCTCTGGCGATTCGAGCAATTGTTTCAAATAATAATAAACGTGTCTCTCCTCCTGCCTCATAAATTCGCGTGAGTTCATTCGAATCACCTATATCTTGAAATTCGAAACGAACGAGAGCAGAGCTGATGCGCATAGCGACACCCTACCTAGCTAGTTGCACTGTCAAGGCCTTAACATATATATTGTTTAAAGTTCATCCAGTACGTGAATATCAATATCAAACAGAAAAGCATGCTTTGATTAATTTATACTAAATCGCAAGAACATATATTTTATATTAATATAGCATATTTAAATTGCACACGTAAAAGAAATTAAATTAAACTACTTAGATGCATATTTATTCTTATAAAGGTCGCTAAATCCATTTGCACCTGGACATCGGGAATGTGAGCATTAGCAGAGTTGTGTCAGAAAAACGAGCGTGGAAGCAGTCGCAAATTAATATTGAGAGTTACCTGTCAATCGAACAATGAATCCCCCCTAGTCGATAAAATCCCATAATTAATGGACCGGTGAGCTGCTACACAGAGACAACTGTCCGACGACAAAGTGAAATAGTCGAGGTATAAACTCATGGGGGGACGGCAGCGCGCGTCACGTTTCTGCCTGTCTCTCGGAATTGCACAGAGGGTCACGGAACACACGCACACGGCACAGTAGTCTCGCGAATCAAAAAGAATAAGGGCTGTACTTTCGCGAAAATTTGCCACGGTGTGGCTATAAATTATCGAGGCCCGGGATGCTGTAATTATTTAAATGCGCACGCGTACAGCCACCGAGGGATGAATTGCGTCGCGGAGTATAAGAGGAGACAATTTTTTTTTTCAATTTCCAAGTTCAAAGGATGGTCCCGTAATCTTCGTCGCTAGGGTGTTAAATCTCCCGTAATAACGTCCTCCACCGAGGGTTTCTCTCAGTGTTGCTACTACGCGCGCTTTCGCGCCTGATGAAAATGGGGATATCTTTTGTGCACGAGCTGCGAGCATCTTTTCGCCAAGAGCCCTGGAATATATGTTCTCTCCCGCGCTCGTTTCTTCGCACATTTTTTTTATTTCATGCTCAGTTGCTGATTGATCGAATTTATCAAATTTGCGACGTACATGTTTGATATGGCACTGAAAATCAACGGCTCTTCTTAGTCAGGTGCTGCTTGCAAACATTTATATTTGCTTAGACAGACGATAAAAATGCGCATTTTACTATACCTTTTTTATCTTCGTTATTTATTTGGAAACTGATTAACATTTTAGTTCGCGAGTACGCCTGTAGATGGATAATAAAGCATTGTTTTCTGAAATTGTAAAAGTAGATTTACAATGTTATAGCGAATTCATTACTAAGATTCATCAAATCTTATATTTGAATGCCAATATATGAATTTTCTAATACCACAGTCTCATCTTACGCTTTGGTTATTAGATATTTCTACAATGACATCTCATTATATATTATTAATAATACATATAAAATTTCAAATTCTTGAAGGCTTTTAAATATGAATAAGTCATTAAAAACTCTTAAAAATTTAAATAACTTTTAATAAAACAAAAACCCAAATTTACAAATATTGCTGTTTTTAAGAAGCATTTAAATTACTCACTTCTACACGAAATATAATGTTGAACTGCGAATAGCTCTCGAGTTAAAAATTTTCATATGGTCATAAAATCTAACGCTTTCTCCTATTCAGTAACTATTCTAAATAAAAAGATAAAAATAAGCCTCAAATAAAATTCCGGAAAAGTCTATTTTATTTGACGAGCGGTGTTCGAAATGTCATAATTGAAAGACGTCGACCAATGAAAAATACCATCTTTTTATTTTATTCGGAAGCCGTTACAAAGCTCCAGCAGATAGACAGTTTAAGGGCCGGCAGGTGACTCGTCGACAACGCCAAGTGCCGCTTCTCTATCTCTCTTTCCGCAGCTATTCGGAGAAGCGTCTATCATCTTTTACACACACGTGCCGCCACTGGTCGAGCTATAAACTGTCCGTTATAGGATGGTACTAGTTATAGTCGGTTATCTTTCAAATATTCATACGGAATAGAACAAATTTATTTGACTAGCAATACGTACATTACTTTTACAAAACAAAATGATTAAATAATCTATCATCAATTTTCATACCTTACGATCAATCTCCAATCTATATACACAAATTTTGCCATTACTCACTTACACGCACAAATTAATATATTAAAAGACCACGAGTTCTCTCACATTCCATATGAATAGACCCATTAGTCTCTAGCGCATAAGCTAAATCCTTTGTTTATTCAGGTCATTCCACGAATATCGCATTAACATGTAAATCAACGACATCAATGAGTTGCCGTAAAAAAATGAAGATTCCCTCCGACTTTTTCTCTCTCGCTGTCGTGGCTTCTGATGTAAAAATCGCGTCACGCGTCATTGTCCCAGAGCCCGCACTCCTTGATGCGTCATGATAATCTTCATCATTGCGGTCTAGTATGGTTGACATCATCCCGAGTATCTCGTGGGCGTTATATGTTTAGGCACGTGCGTTCAAAGTATCAAGTGAATGCTCATAAAGTAACGCCTAAATGAGGGAGATGTCGAAAAAAGAGGTGTTTTGGACTATGCGGTATTTGGATATTTATTGGGATATAGATGTGATTAAAATTTAATAGGTGCGTGTGGCTCATGTAAAATATGGAATGACGAAATGATTTTTTATTTCTTTTTAATAGCTTCGGACCACTCGTTGGGATAAGAATTTATATAAATTCCTGAAGTCTGTCAGAGCCAAATAAAGATACTTAAAATTTTAGGGGTATATTTTTACAAAAATGTATAGCTAATCGTAGGCGTATAAGTGACATAACATTCAATTGCTAGGCATAATAATACGATTTCTTATTTATTATATTGGATATTCTTCTTTATAACTATAAGTCAATCTCATCAATTGACATTGTTATAAATTTGATACATAGTAATTATGAGATATTTGCGCTAAACAGAAAAACGTGTGATAACGTTATGATTTTTGCACTTATACTACAAAGAAAAATTAGCAATAACACGATTTATGTCAATTGAATATTATAAATATAACATAAGATAACATAAGAATATTTTAATTAATGCTACACGTACGGAGCAATATATAAGGTAGTAGCCGCAAGCTACATTCTGTTTGCTCGAACCGGGTCTCTTTATTTGCCATCTTCAATAGTTCTACTTTCTTTCCCTTCGTTTTTTTTCTCTTTGTTCTTTATATCTTTTGTGAAAAAGTTCCCCCTTTCCTTCTCTCGTGTAAGTATCTGCGAGGCTGCTGTTAAAAAATTTATTAAAGTCATGTAAGTACCTATCCGCATTGTCCTCGATGATTCTCATTCTTTACACGAATGCCTCCAGACACGCCAAGACTTTCTTTGTTTTATGATTCCTTCTTAAAAATTATCATGGAAATATTTTCCAAATTGAATACAAAATTTTCTATACTAAAATGAAATCCTTTTTTTATGCCTTAAAACATCTCATCAATCTAATATTTATATTACATTAAAAATTTATTTTTCGTATCAAATATGCGATGGGTAAAAGTACATGCAATGCATTAAATTGATTGTAGACAATTTTTTGGAATTGTCGAACCTGAATTATTTTAATCTACTTCAGGCTAGACAACATAAAAATTCCAATATTTGATCATTTAAATTAATATCACAAGTCTGAGAAATATCCACTAGAATATATTTTGTGCCGAATCGAACAAATAATAGTAATAAAATAACTCAATTTTGACATTATTCCGTTTGTGCAAGTACCCTCGCGGTTATATTTGATTATTTCAAACCAGTAAAACCCGATGTCAGCCAATATATACACCAGTGGCCGCATTCCCGCAATTCTTGTCGAGCGCGCGCGCGCGCGGGATGGCAATCCCTGAGGAAAAGTCGTTGGCGCTAAACAATGCTCGCGAGCTTCGCCGCACGAGTCAACAATTGCGGCTTGAGCGAGGCGTGTAATGCGCATACTACTTCGCTTCTTCTCTTTCTCTTGTGTGTTTGTCAAGTTTTCGCCGCGAGCCTTTCTCGTATAATGCAATAGATTTATTTATCGCCGGGAGTGTGTTTGCAGATAATTGTGCGTGCGCTGCCTTTCCTTTCTTTCGTCACATAAAAAGCCCTCGGCCAAAAACTGAATTTGGCCCACTGTGCCTTTGTAACGCAATTAGGTACGTGTACTTTTGCCATTATATAACGTATACTCGGCGCATAGATATTTTACGTCAGTATTTGTATTTATATTGCCAGACGTATGTGCCAAATTTAATTAACTCATTTTATCACAATGGATTTTCATCTTTTTTTAAGAATTTTTTAAAAATTATTAGTCGATCTACAAATGAGGACTTTAATTAGTGATATTTTTTTCAAGCGTATATCTATAATTTCATTGAGGAAAAATATGATAAATTTTTCTTACTCATTGCATTACGAGTGTACAACAGTATATAGCCTTAATTTCATAAAATACTTGTCTATCTTTAATAACGAATAACAATACAAAAAAAAACAACAATAACTTTTTCTTATTCGTTTTAACTATCTCCCATCGCGGTTATAAGATTGGACAATGCTGTTCGTGCGTCACCCTCTCGGAAAACATTTAGCGCTTCCATCGCACAATGCGAATGTTTTCGCTGCAATTGCTTTGTCAATTCAATTCCAGGACCACTGGCGACTATGTCGTAAACTTTAACATAATCAATATTCTGAATTGATTCAAGTCCTTTGTCGATTTCTATTAAAATTGAAGGATCATGTTCAATGTGAAACATAACTGGTGCTGAGCACACATCGAATTGATTTTTTTTATCTCTGCTTATAAATGGACTTAGATCCAAACAAGCCTGTAAAAAAAATTAATCGCTTGTGATATCTAATTGATTGAAATAAAATTAATATCGAGTATTATAACTCTTTATATGTGGACCTGCCAAGCAAGAGCAAGATGTTTTCCAAATATATAGCCCTGTTCTAACATTTCTTCATTATGACCAGCTAACTTCAGTGTGCCCTTGCAAGATTTACCCAACAGGGCACCAGAACTCAAAACGTTACGTAGAGTCCACTCTTGTTCAGCATAGCCAGTGCGAACTGCTTGAGGTACAGACGGCAACGGATGATCTTGATTGTCTCTTCTACCTACGAATTCCGATTCTGCAAAGTCTTTGATTGTACTTATTATTAGTTCTAGTAGCTGCAAAAATTATGTACTTCAAATTAATAATCTAAAATATAAGAGCGTAAATTAATAAAAATCATTAGCTACATACTTCTTGATTTCTGAGAGCTGCTAATTCAGCACCACTGCTCCCTAATAAATAATCACCACTGAGAAGAGCAATTTTATTTCCAAAATTTATGTCGTTCAACTTTGACTGTTCAGAGTATTCCCCTGATCGTACATTAACTAAGCTTCTATGTACTAAATGACTTGTGCGAATCATTTCGGTAATTTTAGCTAACCTCCATTGGCTATAGAAAAATTTCAAATTTACGTACATAGATTCTGTATTGCCTATACTATTAATCTACACTATGTTCCTTATTACCTGTGTAAGATTCCAGCTGATTTATCTACATTTATGTCATCAATATTGACGTGCCCAGCAGCTTTTGATATGAGTAAAACAATAAGCCCCCAAGCTTGCATGTTATGTCCGTTGTAAATCAAATTTCTACAAATTTATTTACCATCTTGTATCCGTCTACGTTTTTGCATGCATTCTCCAATTTATATAGCTGCTAAAATATCAGATAATGAGCTTACTTGGCAGTTTGAAGAAGCGGATGATTAGAACCAGCAAGTTTTTGTAAATGAAGAGCAATATTCGCAATTTCATCGCTGAGCAACCAACGAAGGCTTAAAAATGAAGTAGGATATCCAACGATCTTTTCCGCCTGAGAAACTACTTTGCTCCAGTCGGGGTTCGGATTATTAACAGTCTCGGTGGTATATTTTTTAAAATTAAAATTCACTGCTTCTCTATCCACGTAGAATAAAGTAGATTGATTGCCCAAAGTGGATGAGAGTATTTTACTCCGGTGAATGAAGAATGTCACTGATTTATTGGCCGACATTTTTGCCTCGCGCTGAATCGAAGAATAGCCGTCAATAGAAATTCCCTCGCCTTCACTACTAATCCACGCAGTAATTAGTGATTACTCGCTGCATGATATCCACTACGTTGCAGTATACGTCGCGATGCACCGGCGGAAAACGCGGACACGTTCACGCAGGCGCGTGCATAAACATAGACAGCACATCTGTAATTGCTAAAAATAAATACATAGATAAATATTGCAAATGTTTATGGCAATGGAGATAGTACTATATTTTTTTACTTTGTTCCTAGTATAATCCTAGTTCTATTTGTTTATTGCACAATCATTTCTTTCGTATGAAAGCTTGATAAGCTTGCCGCACCTAACCCCAAAAGCTTTTATCGTTTTAAGTTCTTTTCCTAGCTTGAACATTTTTATTATCTACTATCTTGAGTCTCTCTTTTTTCTACCATCTCATTTATCATTTTATATCTCAAATTTTTATTTACAGTGTATTTAATTAAAGAATAATTCTGCTTACATACTTTGTTACGTACTTCTACTTGCAACATCACACAGATGAAATGGGTTAGCTCACTTGGTATGTATATTTAAGTTTATATTTATACGTGCTATCTATAGAAGCTCGTAGAGAATGAAAATAGCAAGCTATAAGAACTACTGCTAATGCTAATGACATAGGCTTCCTCAAAGCTTTCAAAAAAAGTCCTGTTGGGACAAGAGGACCTCTCTAATCGTAAGAGAATTTTCCTCGAAAAATAGCATCCAAGACTGAAAATCAGCTTAGTAGACGAGGAAAATTTTTTTGATTAAATAATCTTGATATAAGGGATATAAGATCATTCTTGTTATATAAAATGAACCGTCTTTATTTAATATATGAAAAAATATTTAATTAAAATATTTAATGTATGAAAAAAGTTATCAGAATTTAATACCATAAAATTGCTATAAAAATGGCATCGATAACGGTCAATTACGTAATTTAAAGGGACACTTTCTAAATGGACTTTTTTTTATTTCGACTACACATATCTCAAAAATTTGACAATAAACAAAAATAACAAAAAATATTTTATATAGTTATTTTTCAATATAAGTGTTAAAGTAAGTTTTAAATATTTAAATATTTAAAACATTATTATATTCGAGAAAATTATTTTTCACACATATTTTTTTCTATACTATGAAATAATTTTCGCCGATTTCCCATTGAGTTCCTTAATTTTCGGGACTGACTCGTCTGCGTATATTTTACATATTTCGTTAACGTAAGATGCTCTTTAAATGGACAGCCATCAATCTCAACCGCGTTCGTAAAATGTTAATTCTACATCATTTTTTTAATCACGAGCACAAATTAGCCTTAATTAAGCATTATTCATTTGCATTCAATGTTTATACAAGTTGGGTACTTAAGTAAAATATGACGTTGTTTGTATTTTTGATCTTTCTACTCTCGAACTGGGCAATGAACGTTTCTTGGATCTGTTAATTTTTTTCAACTTGACAAAGGTCATCCTTTTCTATGAACAGAGACTTATTTTATGAGAATTTCTTATATGAGATTGTGAGATGTATTAATATACTTATAATTTATAAGACAATTCATCAAATGCAAAGAATGAGATCATCTTTCACATATCGATGTGAAGAGAAATGAACGCATAATCAAAAATTAATACAAGTCCCGTTATAGCAAATGTCAATTAATCAATGAGAATCTTATTAGATCAAAATTAGAAATTAATATTGTAAATAATAAAAATGACAGTGTTACTTACGTCAATATCTGACCTAGTTCATACATCGAGATCATAGAACCATTTGGAATTTTTTTTAATATCTAATGAAACATGTCAAGAAATTAATGATAAATAAATAAATTAAAATCTAATGAAAATTGAAAAAATTGCCTATAAAATCAAAGAGATGAAGATTTAATGCAGCGTGGCCGTATCCACAGTTTTCCATTTTAACAATGGAAAACTTGCCAAACGGAAAAAGAATAAGCGCATATATAATAATAAAATATATAGGTACATAGACACAATCGAGTTGCTGCTCTTTGTAACAATAGCGAAACGATTGTCGGCTCTCCCGCAGCGGCGCGCCGTGAAAGTGCATTCACGCGCGAATATATAATATCGCGTAACTGAAAGTTTTTGTTCGGGGTTCGTTCTATTAAAAAATTAACGACTCGCGCGGAGGCGTCGATAAATGTGTCCGAGGAAAATTCATCTGTGTATGCGCGCGAAATACATACGCCCATTCATTATTGTTTCATCTTTGCCGCTTACGAGAGCCAATGTGACTGAATGCATAATGGCCTGTTGTATTATACGCTTGAAGAGGTGTTATTACGACGTAGAGAAATAAAGTGTTTGATAAAATTCTCAGATTTTTCTTATTTTTCTTTTCGCGTCGTTGACCTTTTTTAATGATCGTTGTAATGTGAGAAAGCTGTGCATAAATAATAATTGTATTTTTTTTAACGAGACCTACATTCCAACAGCGTGGATAAATTTTTTTCTGATTTAATCATTCATTGGACTGTGGAATGCGAATGAAGGCCATCCCGGTATTTCTCGAAAAGTAAAAGTGTTTTTCGAAGAAGATTATTAATTGTGTATTATTCGTCAATGCCAATAGAAAGAAAACAGAGTCTGATATGGTCCGAAGTCACATACTTTATCATTCGATATACCTAAACTTCCTTTGTACCCTCCCAATTTTTCACAATGGATTATCATAATTATCAATTTTTGTGGTTATGAAAGATCAGGAGAAAAATGAAAGCAAATCAATCTGATGTCTCACACACAGTACCGCATCGATGGGTCAAGTTTTTATTACAGTAAAAAGATAAGGCATCGTTGTATTAAAAGCCGGTTAACTTTCATGGAAGAGAAGAGAAAAAAAAAGAGTCATTTTTCCATGGCGACGAGCGAGAAACGACGACGGCTATCTCCAAGGAAAAGCAGCATTGTGTTTGTGGAGTGAACTCTCGGGTGAGTAATAGGAGGTGACGGTCGGCGAATGAATCAGAATCAAGGCGAGCCCAGCGTGTGTACGAATGACGCGCCATTTGTAAAACGCACTTTTGCCCCCCCGCCCGCGACAGCTCCAAATGGATGGCACGCGTTGCGGCGAAATGGACTTTTTTTTTTGGCGGCCGTTTCGCAATCTTCAATTAACTAATACACGATTGCGTTGTATTTTTGACGACGCGTCGTTTTCAATTATACGAGGGCGAGCGTGGGGGGCATGGGCTGGGGAAACGCGGAAAATGAGCAGAAATTCGCCGAGAAACGCGCTATATTTGTATCGAAAATGTGAATGCCACGAGTTAATGCTGTTCCCATGCATTTTAAACTGCGTGCCGGAAGTACCGAAACAACCGGTCAGAGCTGCCGCCACCGTGCTCTCGCAAATAAACATTCATTATAAAAGGATATAACAGGTGCGCCCGGGTGACCACGTTTATTTGCATGTTGGCTCTGCTGTATCGAGAAAGGAAAAAAAAAGAGGGAAACGTGCTGTTTTATTATAGCGACTCATTTTTATTTTCACCTCAAAATCCAATATTTCGGGCAATGGTTGAGCACATCGATATAAATAAACACGCGCGCTCGAATTGTTTAAATTATACGCTTTTAATGCGGTGCAACAAATAAAGGCGCAATTGAATTTTTTCATTCCGCCCAAATGCCATTGCGAAAATAACAAAAATGTGATTTTATTTTTCTTGATTAAATTACGAATCGGAAAAGCACTCGTCGATGCCTTGCGTTGCCCTGAAAATAGCCGTAAACGTGAAAGCCAAATAAATATGTTGCGATTACACTTTGCATCGTGCGCGACGTGATGTTGAATTCGTATAATTTCTATTTGCAAATAACGAGCATATCACTTAAATGCTCAGAATTTATGTGTGTGTACATTCGAGGCTATATACCGGATGAGGGGCAAAGCTGTAATTAAAACGTCGCAATCCGCGCAGGCCAAAATACGCCCGAAATATTCCAGGTCAGCGACACCGTCATCCGCGAGATATACCAAAACCATTCTAATTACTGTTGCTTTTCTATTATCAATCATATTTATACATGTATTTATTGGATCGAACAAACACAGCTGCCGCGAGAATTGTATTTATACTTTGCTTGGAAATCCACCAACAGGGTTTCAACAATTAACGACGTTTTGTACATTTAATTCGGCTGGCAATCCTATTACGTAGAATTAAATAAATTCATTGCGATTTTCGGCTGTTAAATGCTCAGAAACAAATGGATTGATGTAGCGCGAGCCCGTCGGAGCGTAAATTCATCGGGAAAAAAAAAGTAGCAATTTTGCACGGAGTAATTGCTCGACCAACATTTTTGTCCATTAGCAAGCGCATTCCGCACTCCGCGCGGAGTTGCAAACAATGCCGCGTAATAATCCACACCGCGAAGTCAAACTTCGACCGGGAAACAAACCATGACGCGAGGGTACGCCATCGCGCATTTGGCAATTGGCTTTTGGCTCTCCTCATCCGCATAGCATTAGCGGAGAAACAAATTTAATGCGCGTACCGACGAATTGAAGCAAAGCACACGGCGGTCAGAAATTAGCGCGAGGGTTTCCGCGAGCTTTCCAACTTCAGTTAACATGTACGTAAAGCTCGCTCCTGGGAAGAGTCGTGCAGAGATGCATGTACCGAAAGGCGTCGATGCCGATGGAACGGAATTTAATGATGACGATAATTACAACCATCCACGTTACATGTTACAATCCGCTGATTTATTGCCCTCGGTATGAGTGTGTGCATCTCCTGCGTATATCGCGGGACAGACATTTTTTCCCGACGCACGCGGCGATGCGACCAGGTGGTATAAGGGAAACGCTCGAGGGCGTTGCGTAGTCATTAATCTCGTTTTAATGATAACGAAGGAATGTTAGATTTGCGCACAGAGGGGGAGGTTTTACTGAATGTATAGTCGTTCAAGAGCTTTTGATATCTATATGCCTTTGCATTATTGTTGAAGTGGAATTTCATTTTCATATATTCTTGCTTAATTACTTAGATCACTTGGAGATCGCTTTATTTATT